CACCTGAAGTGTCCACTCCAAGAACAGACCTCTCTTTTCCATGATGCGGTCCTAAAACTTCATTATTAAGTCTTTTCAATGCAATGCAAGTGACTTTATGTTCTGCCAGGCGGGCAGGGACAGTAAAAACCTTTCCACAGCCTTTACAGGTACTTGCTTTACGTTTATGAATCAACTTATGTTTGTATAATAATGTTCTATCATAAAAGAGTTTTCCACATATGTTACATGACATTGGTGTTTGTCCGGTGTGTGAACAAATGTGCTTAACAAAATTTGCTCTCCCAACAATTGTGGAGTTGCAATACCTACATCGAAATCTTCTAGAGATTTCCATCATCTCTCCATGCCAACTCAGGCTTCCAGCTAATTTTGAATCCTTAACAGCTTTCAAGCTGGCGTCAACATCAGTATCATACGCCTCTTCAAACGCAACATCTCCATTTACATGCTGTGTTCGCAGATGGTACTTCAATTGACCTTCAAAAGCAAAAATTTTATTACATATTGTACACTTTGAGAGTTTTTCACCACCATTATTTCTTATGTGAATGATGATGTGGCGTTTGGCATTGCTGCGCAAATTGAACTGTCTTGAGCAGTGGCTGCATGTGTATGGTTTTTCTCCTGTGTGTATTAGGCTATGACGAAGGCATCGAATCTTCTCTGTGAAACTCTTATCACAGATGGAACATTCCCATAACACGTTATTTTCTTTCTGAACTTTCTGAATGAGCATCTCATTAGCATTGGTGAATACATCTTGTTCCCTTGTGACACTGTCCTTTGGAACTGCTTTCCCATGACATGCACGGCAAGTACATTTAATAATGAATCTAGATGAGCCAGAGCTATCATCAGTTGGCAATACACCAGTTGGAGAGTCAAAGTTCACCTCCGTCAGCATCTCTTCATTACTTTCACTCACTTTCATTGCTGTCTCTTATACACATCTAGATGTGTATAAGAGACAGGATTTACACATACTGTAATATTGTTCCCAGAAATAAGTTACAGTACTGTATTTGGAGTGGAAAGAGAATAAATGGAAAGAGAATAAATGCAAATAGTGATGCTTCTGTAGGTATGTCCAGGGTGATAGTGAACACAGTGGTTGAGCCAGATTTTTCTTAACGAGGGAGAGTTGTAAAGCTGTACGACAGTTTCTGATGGGGACCAGAAGCAAATCCATGCGAGGTCAAGGGTCTTGGCCTTTGGTGCCTAGGAGTGTAAGCTTTTGGCCATTTAGGCTGTTCTGAGATGATTCAGATGTGCTGTGCCCCAAAATTGTTTTAATTGTTCTTCTGGTGTCCGATAAGTGCTGGCACTACCACTAGCTTGACACATAATACAGAAATAAAACTTAAATTATTTACATTACTGAATCAAATTACAACAGCAGATAAACTTCAGACACTACTATCTGTCTCTTATACACATCTAGATGTGTATAAGAGACAGACCCCACCCCCTGTTTTTGGACATCTGGATCTGCCCTTGATCATCATATAGGTTGCTCTGAAAAGAATTTGAATGTTTTGTTGAGAATATCATGACCTTTGAATGAACCTTTTTGAAGTGTCAATCAAAATTGATAACTGACCAATCAGATCAGGTCCAGGAATACATGTGTGTCTACTAAGCATATGTGTTGTCCACCATGCATGTGTTTGCGTGTTTCAACACTGTCATTCTGAGGAACTTAGCAGCAATATCCAGTGGGCGGGGCTTAGTGGAATAGTCCATCGTTGATTTGCTTCATTTACCATCAGGAGAATATTTACAATAATAGTTATTATTCTCCTAATTTTCCATTAGTTACTTGCAGACTGGTATAGTTTTAGGAAAACAATTATTTTTATATTTTTTTGTTGTTTCTCAATAGGTTGTTTGGAGACCGATTGGAATTGAAATTTGTCGGTTTCTTCCCAAATCATGGTAAGTAAAAATACATTACAGACTTTTTTACATGAAAATTAAAATTTAATACTGTAGCTGGGAAAAATAAGTAAATACCGTTGAGTCCGCCAAAGTCGACTGTTTAAGTCGAAAATTCGCGTCAGTCGAATTTTTGAAAAAGTCCCAATTCTTTCCTATGTATTACTGTGTAAATTGTTTGTTTAATTCGAATTTTTATAATTCGAATTTCGGTCCGGATAGGCCGATTTTAAAGTAATTTTAACCACACAAGTCGAAGTTCCAAATTTATTAGCGCACGTGGGAAAAAAAACACAGCCGTGAGAAAATACGAAGTTCAATCATTGTTGTACGGCAACAAGTTAGCCATGTCAAAAATAACATCTCATACAGTGCGCTGTGGAACTTGGCTCACATGATCGTATGTCGTAAGTTGCAGTCTATTTCACAATACAGACACCCCTCTGGACCGGCTCCTATGTTCAGTTTTTTGTCCAGTTTCAGTTTGGTCGGCAGTCTAGTTGTAAACAGAACAGGTCGCGCCCCTAAAAACTCTGCCTGCCCGCCAATTGATCCATTTTCGTGGGGTGTTTTGCAGACAGACGTGCTTCGGCTGTGATGACGTCAGATCGCCCAAAGTTTCATAGTGCGTGACAGTAACAAGCTCGGTGTATTAATCAAGTATCAATCAATTGTTAAAAACAAATTTATAAAACAAAACAAAAAACAAATAAGAAACCCTCATGGTATATTTTAGAGTCAAATCTAAATAAACCTAACAAATTATATTTTATTCTCTACAAATTTCCTCCGTAATTAAATTAGCAACATGTTTTGAAAAGCGTATTGAGTTTAAAGAATGAATGAATGAGGTGCATTTGAAATTTACACCGACGAATCTAACGAATTTGAATTAGACGTCTACTGAAAAGAGTAACCAGTATAAACTTGCTTTGTTGAGTTCCGTCTTTATTGCAGGTTGATTCCAAATGGTTTTTAAGGATTAAAAGCAAGAATATACGCTTATTAAAACATTGGAATGCGTAAATTTCACTTCATAATTAACCAACAAAACGTTTACTGGTGTGTCGTATTAATCAACAGATAATCTCCATGGCAATGCGAGTACAGCTAAGTGTCTGGTATGCTTGTCATTAAAAGATATCTATTAAACTATCGTCTGGTTTTTCGAGTGGGTGTTACCGTCCCGAATCGGACAAATCGTCCGAGATTTAGAATAGGGAGTTCATGTTTTCGGAAAGTATTTTATTAAAAGAAGAATAGGAATGAATTTGGGACTAAGAAAATGTTCAGTTTTGCGTGAAATTCGATTTTGTGGGCATTGAGTGCAAATAGTATTGTTCTATGTTAATTTTTTTTTTTCGAAAATGTGCAAGTTGAAATCTGTATAACTCGAACTTTTTATGCCAGTCCCATTAGATTCGACTTAGGCGAACTCGACTGTAATAGTTTTCTGATGATCCATAACATCAAGACACATTTGGTTAAAGATTTACTGTAGGCCCAACTTATCAGTAAGAAAGACAGGAAAATACTGTACCTCAAAAAATTAAAGGGAAATCTTTAGTAGCTCATTTGAAAGGATTAAATAAATTATTAACTTCCAACTCAAAACAAGATTGAAAAAGGTAGATTTCACTGATTTACAGACATTTTACTACAGAAATCCTTAAATTGATTAAGAGCCAAGCCTAATAATTTCAAGATTGAAATGTCTGTCTTGAATTATATTAAGGTAAATCAAAATTTGAACATTGTTTTATTAAAAATCTATAAATTCAGTGAGTTGGATATCTGATAGTTAATTGCCAAATTCATTATCTAAAAAATATTCTCATCCTTGCTTTGTAGTTTCATTGATTTCTAAAGCAAAAAATGCCACTGTCGAAGTATCTCTTCTCAAAGTATGTCATAAACGTAGGAAGGTAAGTAACTTATATTAATGCTTCCAAAAAAATTTAAATAAAAACTTTTTTTTTTTAGTGGTGGATTGAGGTGGTGGGAAAAGGGGTGCTCAATTTTGTTTTGTATTGTCTCAACAATAATTTTAATATACAATCAGTCATTGATAAACGATTGATGATTGCTTGATTGATTGATTGAAGTAAAAACATTGAATTGTAAGTGATTGATACTATCATTCACTGTTGACAATCCTGGAAGATATCCAAATTAAATAGATAAATAATAATTAATTATTATTATTATTATTGCATGGGGAAAATAGTTGAAATGAAACATAAAAAGATCATGAAATAATGTAATACTGTTGAAAATCGTTGGAATATATCCAAATTAAATACTGTACATAAATATTAATAATTATTATTAATGCATGGGAAAAATAGTTGGAATGAAACATTGAAAGATCATAAAATACTGTAATCGTATAGATTTGTTAGCTTTCTTTAATTATTCTTTTTAAATATAATTTCTTTCAATTTTTCCAGGACATTTCCCCAAATCAACAAATACCAATTGGTAGATGCCATGTGCCAATTGATCCTCCAGAGAATTCCACAGACTTGCATTCCATGATATCCTTAAGTGGTCAACTGTTTGACCGCAGTAATGGTCATACTGTTAACTCGTATGTGCTTCATATCAAAGCCCACTGCCCAGTCTTGAATGGCGTTTCAGACAAACTATGCAATACTGTTACTGAAGAATCTTCCCAGGGTAAACAAGTAATTTATTGATTGTTTTATGGCATTTTTATCCTACGGGCGTGACTTTTTTTATACCTTGTTTTGTGAACTTATTTTTGTAAAGATAGACAGAGGAGGGGGTGAAAAATGTTTTGTTGGTTTTTTATTTAGCAAAGAGTTTGGCACGGTGGGAATGGTTTGGTTTGGTTTCCCAACCTCGAGGTTGGGTTTTCAATACCTCGATGTGCATTTCACTTGTGTCCTTGAGCAAGGCACTTTATCTGCATTGCCTCTCTCTACCTAGAAGTATAAATGGGTACCTGGTGGGGTTTCCTGCTACTTTGCCAATGTGGCTGCAACACTTAAGCATGTGGACCCAATGACCAGCAAAAAACTGTAACTGAAAGGAAAAGTGCTATACATGCAACAAGTAGCCCTGTATGCCTTAGCATAATAATAATAATAATAATTTATTCTTATATAGCGCATTTAAGCAAGCTCTCAATGCGATGATGGAACTTGGCAGTCAATGTGCTAAGCATATTGACTATGCATAATGTGAATTAAACATTGATTCCAGTACATTTCATCTTTCTTTAGAGGAAACGCCACACAAACGAAGACGTACCTCACGCTCGCAAGACTCCAATGAATACATCACTTATACCTCAGAGCTGGTTGTACTTGACAAGCACGGTCGATGCCAGCTGACCCCTGGAAAGTATGAACTTGTCTTCCAGGAAGTCAAGACCAAAGTCAACAGAACCAAAAATGCATCATGGGAGACCATTCTAGAGGGCAAGGTATGGCACTGGTATTATTCTTCCTTGCCTAAAATCCTGTCCAGACTATCAAATTTGATTTGACAAAAAACTTTTGTATGCCCATATAGGGTCAAGATGTGCCTATATATGTGGCGATGTCAAGCCAAAACGGTCGGAAGTCGCTAAGACGATTTTAAGATATAAAAGCAAAACAATAGATAAGGTCAAATTTGCTCATTTTGGTGTTTCATTAAAAACATGTATATTAAGTATCTAAGAATAGGATTTAAATAATATTTTTTACATTTTAGTACCAACAATACTGTAAAACGTGATTTTAGTGAGACACTCGAACCCGGAAGTATGAAAAACGAAAGCAAATCATCGTTTAAAGCCGCAATCGCACTGGATTTAAAATAGGGAAATTTTTACCGAGACTGTGGGTAACATTCCAATGGGTAAACTCCCTGTCGTTCGCACTGGGATTTATCGACGTGGTTAGTTTTACCACAGGCCATGGTGAAACTAACCATTCGTACAGATTCAACTATTGGGGGCGCTAAATCGTGACGTTCACTTCCGGTATGTGTGGCAAAACAATTAACGAAAGCGACGTTCTCCTTCTTGTTGTGACAGCGTTTCTTTGGACTAGGCCCACATTATGTTGTATTTGTTGATAATCGCGATGAATTGTCTCACCAAGACCTAGCACATTTATTAATGCTCCATATAAATCGGCCATTGAA